CCTCCCTTCCCCCACCCCGCCGCGGTGTGACTCGCCGCCGTGCCGGGCGACACGTCCCTCCCCGCCCTGGGGAGGGTGGGGGGGCTGCCCGCCGCTGCCACCCCCCGGAGCCGCCTCACCCCCCGGGTGCCTCCCGCCGTGTGCCACGTTAGCTGCCGGCTGCCCGCGGGGAGAGCTGCCACGGCTTCCCCGGAGTTGTCACAGCCCCGGGAGGAAACCTTGGAACGACGCACACCGGCCCCCGGCGGGGGGAGGCTGGTCCCCGAGCAGCTCCCCGGGCTGAAAAGGTGCCTGGAGACAAAAACCGGGCTGGAGACAGGGCCTGGAGGTGCCTTCTCCCTGCTGGGAGGGGAAAAAAATACCCCACAATTAGGCAAAGGTATCAAAGGATTGAAAGCTGTGATCCCCTTATGTAATCGTAGATATTCTTGAAAACTAATCGAGGGTACCGAGCCTAAAGTAGAATATTAAGAGTGTTAGGAGAGCTGTTAGTTAAAACTCAACCAAAAGATTAAACAATCCTGAGAGATGCTGGGGAGAAAATACCCGAATGGGGGTGACTGGTGTAGAGTGATGGAAACTCAGGATACCAGTCTGCCTCGTTTAAAGGAAGGCATGGCTAGAGCTCGTATGAGGACTGTGAAAGGAGCATTAGAATTTGTTTTAGAAAGCCATTTTCATACTTGACTGCAGTTCAAAGATTATTTTTTTTCAGGAGGACCAAGTGCGCACAAACATCACTCTGAAATATATTCTCAACTGCGAAATGTAGGCAACCATTACGTGCTGCCTTTCATTTGGCACCAGGTGTAATTGTATAAAGGATTATCATTGCACACTTCTGAACAGGGTGCTTAAAGGCTCATTTGCAAGGGTAATTAGGAATACGTAGCTCTACAATCATTCTGAGATAAAATATCTAACACTAGTACTAAAGAAAAGTGTCTCAAAGAGCCTAAAATAATGGATTGAATACTCATCTAATTGAGAGAGTTATTTTAATTGTTTTTTTTAACAAAACTTTGCAGTTGCTGTGCTTACTAATGCCTTCCAGCATATAATATTTGACCTATATGGTCATTCAGTGCTTTTTCTAATACGGATTATTCATCACAAGTTCCAAGCTCATATAAAAAAAAGAAAAATTAAACTCTGGACGAAGGGTGCAAAATGGTGGATTATTTTGTACATGTTTATTCTGATTTGCAAATGGCTGCTGGCACTCACAGACAGGACGATTGTGAAAATTTCCCTAAGGGCCTCGATTGCTGCATCTGCTGAGATGACGCAACTCAAGAGTGAGCCTGCAGGGTGAAGGATGGTGCAGAGGGAGGGGCCAGGCAGCACAGCCTTTGCTCTTCATACAGGAGAAGGTTTATTTGCTTAAGCAAGCTTAAATGGATGGGGTGAAACTTCACTTGCATACAAGAAATATGTTTCGTATCTTCAGAGAATCCTCTTTAACCCTCTGAACAACTGAACTTTGCCGTGCAGTGTAAAATTGCTCTGAAGAATTTGCCAGAAAGGCTTGTAGGTTTTCAAATAACCAGGTGTGGTCCCCGAGTTAAAACAGGCGAGGCTGCTGCTGCGAGTGGTGAAAACATTTGAGGTGGTGACATCTGTGAGACTATTCCATGTAATTTTCTGACCTCAAGCCAAGAGTGCTGATGCAAAGGTCTAAGGTAATTAGGGCCCTATATCACAGAGGAAAATGATCCCTAGCTTGCTGGGCCAGTATACTCACCATAACGAAAAGGGGATCTTGAATATCCGATAGCAGAATGGTTCTCCTGAGATCGGGTCAAGTGTGCCGCTGCCTTGGTACAGAAATACACCTTGCTCATTTCAAGCAGAGAGTATTTTCATCTCCCAAGTTTTTCCCTCAAAATACTGCAGTAGTAGCTGTCTGGGCGGGAGGCAGTGTTCCTGTCCCTGGTCTGGAGGTTCCTTTGTCTGTTACATCCCATGGTTGCAGCGGGAGGAGATCCCTTGGCCTAGGTTTGGGGTTTTTTTTTCTTTAAAAAAATCTTGCCATGTTCAAAACCTAGAATTCACAGGGCTTTGTCTAACGCTGCTGGTTTGCGTTGCTAACTGTGATCCCTTTCTAGTTCCAGGGTTCCCTTCAATTGCTGTAGTAACCTGGGTCCGGGGCCTCGGTGGTGCTCCTGATGTCCCTCACCCACCCCTGAAGATCCCAGGTGGGCGAGGGAATAGTCAGAGGGATCACAATCTTTCAGCTAATTTATTTTATTCGGTGAGTATGAATAATAATAAGTAGCTTGCTGTGGTGAGTTTGAATGAGTTTCTTGCCCCAAGCCTCTTAATAGGAGTTATCCCTGCTCCAAAATGAATTGGAAATAACTTTGCACGTATTACTGCTACAGGATAATCGGCTGAATGTAACAGAAGAACTAACATCTAATAACAGGACAAGAATTCTGAATGTCCAGTCAAGGCTTACAGATGCCAAACACATTAGTTGGAGAGCAGTGCTGAACAACAACAACCTCTATATAGAGATTCCCAGTGGTGCTCTGCCTGAAGGGAGCAAAGACAGGTACGTACAATAAACTGCAGCTGCGGTTTAACTTGTCTCCATCTTGAAGGCCTATCAGTAGGGTGGAATAACACTTTACCGTTGTTGTTTGCTTCCGTTGTTCTGAAAGTTGAAGTCTAATTACGGTGCTTGATGCTGTCTTGGAAGAGGCTGCAACTAAGTGATCCTGATTTGAGTGCGGCTTCTACCTGTTTAGTCAGGCAGAACCACCCAAAAGCTCTGTGATTTCAGGCTGTGTTCCCAGGTACTGGGTGGATACTTTTACGCACTGAAAACACCGGCCTGGTTCTGAGTCTGTCGCTGCAGTTGTCCCTTCAGCTGCAACGGAATACCATGTTTTCTGTCTTCCTGAAGACGTAGTTTTCTGCCCTGGAGTTAAACATAGGGCTCAGGGATTCCCTGTCGGTGTGTCTCCAACCCCGGCCTCTTACACTGCTGAATCCCTGTGCAGATGGGCTCACAGGGCCTTGCTGCCTCCGGATCTCTGAAGGCAGCGCTTGCTCACGTGCATTGAACACCGTGTCTTTTTGTAGTTTTGCAGTTCTTCTGGAGTTTGCTGAAGAACAGCTTCGAGTTGATCATGTGTTCATTTGTTTCCACAAGAACAGAGACGATAGAGGTAGGTGTCCACTCTAGAGTAGTGAATGTGATATTTGAGGTTGGTTTTGGTGGATGCTTTAACTGTTGTTACGGTATCAAATGGATGAAACTTGTTTTCTGCTTTTTTTTTTCTAGCTGCATTGCTCCGTACTTTCAGCTTTTTGGGCTTTGAGATTGTGAGACCAGGGCATCCCCTTGTCCCCAAGAGATCAGATGCTTGCTTCATGGCCTACACGTTTGAGAGAGACTCATCAGAAGAAGAATAGATTGCAATGTTTGCCTCTTAGAGCTTTCTTGTTGTCTATAAAGATGATCTGTAGAAATTTTGTCAACATCTATTACAGTATATATCATAACTCTGTACGAAACGTTGTGACCAACTGCTCTGGTGGTGAGATGTTGAAAATTTCAGACTCCACATCTTTTTCTGGATTTGTGCGCATGTTGTGGTTGTGCAAATAAATGCTCCCTCCAAATTAGCAGTATATTTCTTGAAGTTTAATATTGTGTTTGTGATACTGAAGTATTTGCTTTAATTCTAAATAAAAATTTATATTTTACTTTTTATTGCTGGTTTAAGCTGTTTAAGACTTGCACTCTGAAGAGAGGTGGCTCTGGAACTGCCCCAGCCATTAAAGTTGCAGGTATGGAAAGGCGTTGGTCATTCTTTGCTTGATTGGAACTCATGGCTATGATCTGCCAGGCCTTGAAATAATCTAGCAATCCTGTACGAACCTGCTTTTAGTGAAATAATTAGCAGGTTGTCCATTTCTACTGGTAATTAGGATCGTTGCATCCCTGCTGTATGGGTGTTTCGTAGGACAGTTCAGGGCATGGGTTAGTTGGGAGGTCACAAGGGAGCTGCTGAGGCTGCCCTGAGGTTCTGGTGTCTTTGAGCATCAGATCTGCACCTTTGACACCTGAGTCTCAATATTGCCTGTAACTGGTGTGTGGTAAGCACGCAGGAGGGCTTGATGAGCTCCTTGCCTGTCATCTAGGAAGGGTTGTGGCACTTCTGGAGCTCAATACAGTCATCGAGGCTCAGTGGCCTCCAGAACTCTTCTGGGGAACAGGTTGGGGTTGAGGTGTGGGGAGAAGGGACTGTAGTCACAGTATCTGTTGTTGGGGTCCACAGAGACCTGTGTGTGTTTGGGATGCTGAACAGAAAGGAAAATGCCCGATTGTGTAGTGCTAGAATTAACAAAACTGCTGAAGCTACTAGAGAGAAGTCTCCAAAGGACTGTGCTTTGAAGTACTGTATTTCAAATTTTTTTCCCCTGGTATTTAATGTTTGCAGCTTTGGAGGGTTGTTTGGTACCATTTGAGCTGATGGATCTTTCCTCCTAGCAGCGAGTCTTGGGATGAGTTATTTTACCAGGTGGTTATGCTGTGAGTGTCGGTAGAAGCACGTGATCTTCATGGGTGTGTGTTCCTCCAGGACCTGACCACCCCACCACGCTTGGCTTTAGGAGCTCTGTACGCTGTGAAATGCTGTGTGAGTGAGAGGGCCCGAGGATCCCCCCCACTGCTCATCCCTGGCCACGTGTTCTGGGCCAAGCAGTACTGGAGTTGCATGAAACACCCCAAAATGTAATCTGTGAAACTCCCTTCTTGGAGGTGCGGTGGGGAGCAGGTCCCGTAGTGGATGGCACTGTCTTCCTGGGGAGCCTGGTGTTAAATTAGCAGTGCAGTGACAGGTGGATGTTATTGATGGGTCTGTTTAATTGGCTTCAGGTATTTATATCGGCCTCTCCTTAACTCTGCCCCAGCTCGGGCTGTGCTCTCTCCTTGGGCCCCGTGACATGTCGTGCACCACAACCGTCACCTCTGCAGGGACCAAGGCTCCTGGCTGCACCGTGGGCCAGTCAGTGCCAGGGGTCCCTTCCCACGTGTCTCTTGCCAGTTTATTTTGTGGCTGTACAATTGTGCTCTTCCTGTGGTTTGGTTTTTTTTTTTTTTGTTTTTAATTGAAAAGCTGTGAACTCGCTGTTCCAGCAAAGAGGAGGTGGGCACCACCAGGCAGAGGGTGCTCCTCCTTTACTCAACGGGCTGGCAACGCTCTCGAGTTCATAAACTGATTCTCAAGAGGGATTCTTGTTTTCCTCTGCGATGCTGCGCCTGTGCTGCGGTCTGCTTTCCACAGGGATGTGCGAGTGTGGAGATGGACCTGGTCCTTCTTTGAAGGCTACGGTCCCCTGTAGGCTTTTTGCTGACCTCGGGTGCTCCAAGCTGCTCCTTGTGGGAGGGGAGGGGGTCACCCAAGGTGGAATCCAGAAATGGGGTGCAGGGGGGTGCTTGGAGGTGCCCCCCTGGGCATTGGGGTCCAGCAGAAGAAGGTTTTTGTCTTGTTTTTTTCCAGGATCATATGCCCGAAGTGGCTTTGGGTGAGCTGCTGCCGTGCCACGGGCTTTACTGCCATCTTGTAGCCACGCAAGATACTACAGGAGAGGTGATGGGGACAGCAGGGCTGGGGCTCACCCAGGACAACCCCTCCTGCATGTTTTTGACCCAAAAGCCCATACTGAAATTTGAACGCCGTTTCTGTGGACTGGCCGTGCTTGGGTGGTGGCCGTGTTGGGGTTTGTGTGCCCGGGGAGCTTGTTTGGTCCTCCACTTGCTTGGCCAGCCTCCATGGGGGAGGCCGCCCTGCCGGGTTTGGGTGCTGCTCCAGGAAGGAATGGTCCCCCACCGTGTGTGGAGTGGGCACAGAGGGGCTGTGGTCTCAACTGGGTCTTCACCCCCTCCGATGAGGCTGCTGCCTGCGACACCCACCAGCGGGGGCAGCTGGGACCATCCTGCTCTGTGGTGACCCGTCTTGTGGTGGGTCACAGCTCCAGTTTGCCAGGAGTTTGGTTTGGTTTGTTTTTGTTTTTTGTTTTTTTGGGGGTTTTTTGAGCTGGGGGACTCCTAGGAAGGACCATCCCCAATTCAGCTGTGCCATGGGCTCTGGTGTGCCACTGCCCATGCCCATAGGCACGCCGGGGCTGCCCCAGTGGTAGCTGTGGGGAAGCCTGGGAAGGTCCATCCTGCTGTGTGCACAGCTCTTGCTGCTGTCAGGTGACAGCTGCGAGTGGATTAATAATTACTTAATGATTAATTGAATATGCCCTCAGCAAGTTTGCTGAGGACACCAAGCTGCGTGGTGCAGTTGACGCGCTGGAGGGAAGGGATGGCATCCAGAGGGACCTGGACAGGCTGGAGAGGTGGGAGTGTGTGAACCTCATGAAGTTCAACAAGGCCAAGTGCAGGGTCCTGCACGTGGGTCGGGGCAAGGCCGAGCACAAATCCAGGCTGGGCAGGGAAGGGCTGGAGAGCAGCCCTGAGGAGAAGGGCTTGGGGGTGTCGGTGGGTGAGAAGCTCCCCAGGAGCCGGCACTGTGCGCTGGCAGCCCAGAAAGCCCCCCGCCCCCGGGGCTGCAT